CTCCGCCCGCCCCGAACCTCTTACAATTTGATTGCCAATTTAAACTGAATCCGAACGATAAATCCGACCTTTGATGCACCAATCAAACCGCGCGCCCCCTCCCCTCCTCCCCTCGGCCCCTCCGCGTGGCGAGGAGCCCTTCATTCCGAATTCTCGGCGGGTAACGACGTTAATTAAACCGGTGGCGGGGAAGGTCCAATTATTCCGTTTAGTGCTGAAATTTCGGACAAACTTCCACCGTTGCCCGCCTTTTCGAACCTCTTTTTTCTCCGCTCTAATGAACATCCCGTCTCATTTTTAATACGAGTGGAAATTGGGTCGGAGGGGAAACGGCCGACTTAAAGGGCCATGAAAAAGGAGGGCGAGTCCGTTTAATAGCGCATAAAAGTGTCACGGCGCACCTTTCAAAATCCGCGGGAACAAACGCAATGCCGAGGACCCGCCCCATTTCCAAACTTTGAGAAATACATTTTTTTCAAGAGTGCAGCCATAACGTCGCTTAACTGCGATAATGTCGTCGGCGGAACCAGAAGTTACCGACGGCAATTCCGTTGATGACTCCGGCACCGATCCTCGTAAAACATTTCCCGCGTTTAGGCGGCGGTTTCGAGCTTTTAAAAGTTTCCCGCGCCCCCGGTGAAGCTTGCCTTTCGAGGCCGGTCTTCGACTATGATGAGACCGAGTTTCTTGAGCTTCGGTTTATTGGGGAGTCCGATTGCGCCTCCGCTTGACCAATCACCGCCGCACGGTGGATCGAGTCAATGGGAGAGGTCGGTCATGGAGCGTTGCGCTTCCAATGTAACGAAGATAACGAATATTCCTGGTCATTTGATCGGTTAAGTACCACAAATCACATGTAATTTTTCGCGTAGAATTCATTTTTGATGTTATTTTTGGTGAACAACGTACCTGAAGACCCGTATTTGAGCATTTTGTCGGGAAAACTATACTGGTGCAAAGTTTAGGCGTCTGTGTTTTACTTCGTAGGACGGAGTTTTTAATTTTTCATGATGGAAGAGGATAAATTATGAATAAAATTATGAAAACTTACTAATAAGTGTCACAAATACGCAAAAATACCTCCCCGGTTATGAGCTGCTGCATCAGATAAATCATTCCCTTCACTGCAAAGTTAATTTCGAAACTTTGTCATAACATATCATTCTTATGCATAAAGATCGGTGAGAAAACAAATGAAATACATTTATGAATTCTTTGAAAATATTCAAGATCCATTTTACTTTAAATTCATATTTACATTCAGAGGACGGAACAGGGACTTAGAGTAGGAAAAACACTAGATGGCTAGAAAAAAAAAAGAAAAGAAAAAAAAATTTAAACATGTGACAGTCATCTGTCATCTGCTTCTCCTTATTCTTCTTCATATTCAGTTCCCCATCACTCTCATCCTCGTCTTCCGCTCTCAAACCGCATCAAACTTAAAAAACAAGCAACGCAAAAAACCGCAAAAATTCCAAAATTTCCCTTACTTGTAACGTTCAAACGTATACTCGCAGTGTAATTAGTTTCGCACTAACTGCACTTTGTTTACATCGAAATAGGAGAAAAATTAAAAAATATGTACGTATTTGAAAGAAGCATCAGTTATCAGAGTTCACCAGTGACCGGTAGCGCGCGATCGCGGAGGCCAACGGATAAAATGGCATCATAGTCAGGGGCCAGGCAAGTAAAGGGGGGGGGGAGGGTTACTTGCTAAAAGTTTCCTCAAGCTATCTACGCATACGTCCCAAAAAAGCTTTCTATAAGGGATATGAAGGGATGTCCGCGTGAAAATATGCCCGATTTGTTTTTTTTTTAGTTCTCCTATAGATATGTAGTTTAGGAAATAATGAAAATACGAAAAACGGGCCAAAGAGCACGTCTTGATGGTGAAACTTGTTTTTTAGTTTCCGATGAACAGGAATCATACCTACCTGGGTCATTTAGCAGTTATGAGAGTTCACTGGTCGCTTGATTTTCGAGATAAGGCTCGCGCACAATCTCGGAACGCAACGGAAAACAAATTTTGCGGGATCGTATTCTCAGGACTCCTACGAATATGCCTATACAAATTTTTCTGGCGGATGGTGGCGGATGGGTAGTTAAAAGTTTACCTTAACTTTTTTTTTCTGCATGTTGATATAAGCACATTAGTGCAAACATAATCATTGAAAAAATGGGCCGAATACAAAAAATTTTTAGCGGTATGTATTCTCCAGACTCTGGAAAATAAGAATCAATTAATGAAACCAGCATTATTTTAAACAGAAGCAAGCTAAGTGCCGCGGCAGCTCACCGGTCGCTTGATTTTCGAGATGAGGCTCGCGCACAATCTCGGAACGCAACAGAAAAAGTTACGTCACGGCCAAAGTGGCGCAAAGTGGCACCCAAATTTTGCGGGATCGTATTCTCAGGACTCTTACGAACATGCCTATACAAATTTTTCTGGCGGATGGTGGCGGATGGGTAGTTAAAAGTTTACCTAAACTTTTTTTTTCGCTTTTTGAGATGATCACATTAGCGCAAACATAATCATTGAAAAAATGGGCCGAACACAAAAAATTACTAGTGAAATGTGTTCTCCAGGCTCTGAAGAACAAGAATATGTCAATGAAATTAGCATTAATTTAAACAGAAGCAAGTTAAATGGAATAGAAAGACTCGGACGATTTTTCGCTGAAATAAAAAGTTACGCAAAGCCCCTCTTTGATGCCTTCTGTCACAAAAATGAACATGTTTCGTTCCAAATCAATGTCAGATCCTTAAAATATAACTCTTGAGGAACACTTTTGACCCTTAAAAAATGCGATTCGCCCGAATCGCCCATGACCGACCTGTACCATTGACTCGATCCACCGTGCGCCGAAAGCAATATCACGCCTCGAACTAGGTCAACGTTTCTTTTTCAGCCGCCAAAGCATGAAGAGCCTGTGCCGAAAAAAAAAATGCTTCAGAAACTTTACTGTAATTTTTAATAAAATTAAGCGCTTGGCTTATGAACAATATTTTTTAAGCCGAAAAAAATTATTAAATTTAGAGATGAATTAAAAACATCTTTGAAATGACAAAAACAAAAACAAAAAACTTGAAGTAGGCGTCATAAAAAATTGCTATATCTACATGGTGCTCCGAAAGTTGGCACAAAATACTTTACTGGTCGTTTTCTCTAGATGAATGATTTGATTTATTTTCGTTTGACTCTCATCCATGCCCACTTGTGAAGTTGCGAGTAACCCACATTCCTCGAGAACAACCAAGCCTTCATGAATCCATCAATGTAGCGCTTTGCGAGACGAAAAGTGGTTTAATTAGCGATAAATCCGTGTCGTAGTTGACGCGAAGGAGCCCCGCAAAGGTTGGTAAACCCCTATGATTTATTCGGGATCAGTTACCCTCTTGAGCCCTTGCACCTTCACCCCCAACCCCTTCGTTGCCCTGTCGTGACTACCGAGCGTTCATCTTTCACGTTCGTTTTCACTCTCGAAGAATAGGGCTGAGGACACATTGGCGCTGCAGAAACTTTTTCAGAAACTGCTGTCGGAAAAGTAGGATACTGTTCATGAAATACAGCAAAAAAAAAAAAAAAATTTATCGGGTCCGGATTTTCATTGAGACTCAAAAATTCACAATTCAGTGAAAATGAGTCAGTTGCAATACGTAAAGAATCCATGTTGATGGTTGAAGTCTATTCGAAAGCAAAAATATTAAAGAGTCGAGTCGGCCAAAAACCGAGGATATGCTTTTGTATTTTTTATTTGTTTATAATTTTTGTTATTTTTAATGAAAAAATGTGTTCATTTTTTTTATTTTATTATTGCTTTATTTTTTCAATTTTAAGAAAAAATAACAAAATTTTTTTTCTTGATTATCAGTAGAGAATGCGTACTAGATTTTAGTAATGTCTTGGAATAATCAGCAAGTGAACGGAACGTATTTTTCCCCCTCGGACCTAATTTGACGTCCACTGTCCAACGAATAATGCTGTGTATCCTCTTTCGGCGATGATGTTGAAGACAACCTCTTGCCATTCCAAGTGCTTAACCCATTAAAAGGAGCTCAAAGGGATCACTGACGAGCCATTACTTGTCGAGGCCTACTTTGGCGTCCAGCAGGGGCCCGCTTAGGTGGGCTCATTTCGGTCCCTTTCGATCTCCTGTCAAAAATGAGCTCTAATCTCCGTTATTACGGCCCCATTCCATCCGTGGGCTTTAAAAAGTTATGTCCCGTTTTTAGGCCCCTCTTTAATTGCATCCCTGTACCGCTCCACCTTGAAGTTATTTAGTTTCGACCGAAATCCCCGAAACGACCTCCGGTGGAACGGAGGGATCCCTGACGCAAACATCATCAGGAATCTTATGAAATTCTATCGTGCTTTTTCATATAGAACCTTCGTGGAAATTTAAGTGATTTGTTTTGTTCCAGATCCTCCGGAAATTGAGGTCGAGAAAAGCTGGGTCCACTCTGGCGAAGGCTACGAAGCTCTATTGGTGTGCATCGTCCACGCTGAACCGTTAGCAGAGGTAAGTCATTTCAAAATTAAAATAATAATTTTTTGGGGAAAATGTAGTGTCATGGCAAGTGAAAAAGTTTCGTGCGGTACAGATTTTATTGGATTATACACATAAATTGAATCACTCGAGTCAATTTAGCAACCTTAGAATTTAGAATGCAGTTACGTTGTTTCATCCGGAAAACGACGCACAGTGGATCGAGCCAATCAGAGAGATCAGACACGAAATTCCTGATAACTGCAAATTTTGATGTTTATTTCGCTACATTTTAAATTTCAAGGGGTATTTCCAGAAGAAAACGTTACGAGAAAACCAATAGAACCACTTTCAGAATCTCAAAGTATTGTATAAACAAAGTTATAAGCTTTTAAAGTTTCCAGATTTTGTCCGACCTCTCCCAATGACTCAATCCACTGTTCGACGGTTTAAGGTCGACATTTTGTCCTAAAATATTGTAATACTTTCCCCCTTTCCGAGGTATGAATATTTCTATCTTGAGTTTTTGTTAATCAAGGTCCTGTACCTCACAGGCGGTCAAAACTCAATAAAATAAGAATTACGGAAAGATAGTTTCTTCATAATTCGGCCATATCGCGACCGGGGCGGCTGCCAGAGCACTTCACCCGAACCGCGGACGCCCGGCGATGTTGGAGTTGCATGTCTCCACATCGCGCACCCTTGTGGAAACGAACATTTCGTGTTCGTTCGACGTAATGATACAACCGCATCTCGACGCGACCCCCGAAAAACTTGGCTTTACGTGGAGAGAGGGGCCCATGCGAAACTGCAGCCCCGCTTTTACGACGGCGGAGCGAGGAGGGCTGGCGGCGACGAGGTGGGGCGAAAATCAAAGCTCACACAAAGGATATATTCGGGAGATTTAGGAGGGGATGGAGGGTGTATCCTTTACACCTGAAATACGCTCTCTAGGAACTGTCTTTTCATGACTGGGAGCCCCCCGGCCCCCCGGCCCCTCCCCGCGGGACCCGGGACTCGATGAACAGGGGCGTTAAATAAATAATATACTAACGTGCCTTTAAAACAATGGGGATTCAATTATGTTATCCGTGTAAAATTGAGAGTTGCTCCCAGCGTCGCATCGCGCCCGCCACCCCGCACGCCCTTGCCGTGTTTCCCCATAAATCCTCGATATCGCGCTAGTTTCCAGCGGGCGGACCCAAATGAGTGAGTGGTTTGTCAGTCTTGCTCACACAGTGCAGTGCCAATATAGCTCCACATGTAGTAGCCTTGCGCGGCGACCACCACGGGTGCCATTCCTTTACGGAACGTTCAAGTAAGTCAGGTTAAACATCCTGTGAACACATCTATGTAGCAAAGGTATGAGAAGTGATCGAGGATATTATTCAAGGAGTAAAACTGAGGATGGATCTAGCAATTTTAACATGAATGCTCAAATTAGTGTGAGAATCCGTCGCTTTTTGAAGCTTGAAGTCAATGCAGAAGTTTCTAAAACTTCTCGGCCTTTTCCATAATAAAAAGTTGCTAGGTTTACAAAAATCAAACATGACGGTACTTGACGCGCGATCAATCAATGTTACGTGTTTTGTCAGAAAGTGGAAAAATTTACTCGCCCCCTCCTCCTCCTCCCTTTATAAATTCAGAATGCTTCGAGCCTGGCAGTTGAGGAGAAACAATGAGCCCCTAGAAAAAGTATACCTTGAAGAAACAGAAATTTTGAAATGGATAATCGCAACATAACCAATACCGGACCATACGAGGGATCCATTCACCGGACTGATCTTTAATATGGGAACGGAATATGTGAGAATAATTTTCAATAGGACAATTTGACAGCCCTGCCGCGGGATTTCAGCGCGGTATTTAAAGCGGGATCTCGCCCGCAGATCGAGGCCGATGCGTCCCCCATTGTGCCCCTCTCTCTCACCCCTTTCCACCCCCGCACACCTTTTGCAGGCACCCGGGCCCGCGGGGGCGTCTTTCTTGTGCCGGCCCGGAGGGGGTGCACCGCGGCGCGGCGCGGCGAAGTTGGAGTGATATAGCGCCCGGCGACAAGACTTCATTTGTAAATTTCATCAGTGGATTTATCCGTTTCATTGTTAGCGCCTTATTTATATTTAATCATGCACCCCTCCACCCCCCCCCCCCCCCACCCGGGTCTCTTGTTTCGGGAGCTCTCCCCATTTTTTCCTGCGGGGGCTCTTTGCGCGCCGCGGGGGCCCCGAATTAGAGCTCGCTCCCACGATCCCACCTTTGTCCCCGCATGCCATCCCTTCGCCTTTGCCTCCATGTTTGCCTTGCCTCGGTGCCACGAGGCTCCTTCGGGCCCATTTTCGGGGGTGCTTCAAACTTTGTGTCGGCCTGGGGTTTCGTGCACCTGCATCTATTGAATACGATCTAATTAGAATCGATAGTTGCTCAATGCTAGGGCCCTCAGGTTAGTTGGGAATGGAGTACCTTTGATTGGGCGAGCGTTAAAATGTTATTTGATGGAGAGTTTAGGGCCCAAAATTGCAGAAAACCGTCTGAAAGTTATTGCGCGTAACGTATTTTTACGGAAACGTAAGAAAGTAATGTGCCTAATGCATTCTACATCGTCCTTCCGATAATTTTCGAAACTTTAGAGAACAAATTTTTCTCTTTTAATAGTAACATGGATAAATGGGATTCAATTTTTTAGTTCAAATATTAGTTTCGGGAGGAAGCTATTTGAAATTCTATAAAAAAATTCAGCCATGTTTTCAACTCTCTTGCACGTTTTTCATTAAATTTGCGAGTGAGTCCAAAACATAGCTACATTTTTTTTTACATACTCTTGTGCTGACTTTAATGGTGTTTCTGTCGAAATTCGAAGCTGTCTCTGTCAAAGCTCATATAGTTGTCGGAACACAACAGAATTGTGCACCCTGCTTTGGCATAAACATGAAATCATTCGCCGTGAGGCCCTTCGCAACCACATCTGAGAAAACTCGAGAGAGTTTTCCGTTTACATTTTAAACTCCTACACAAAAATCTCCTAATTGAAGAGTGAGTGCCCGCGCAGGTCTCCGTATGGCGACATCTAAAACTTAGTCATCGAACGGTAAAGACATAAAACGCCATGGTAAGCTTTCCGAATATAAATTCAGCTGAAGTAGAAAAAATGAAACAAACCGCAAAACATTTTCTACCCAATGATGTTATCACCATTAGTAAAGAGAAAGGACGCATATTCTATATCAATATAAAGTAAGACACTGCATAATAAATACCGTACTTGAGGAATAAATAAAATTTGAAAGTATCTGAAGCCACGATTCGGAGACCAATAGAATCAAAGCTATTTTGAATTGTGACAGTCGGCATGAAGCGTCGCATTGATTTCAGGCAGAGCGAACAAAATACAGAATGGGGACGGTCAGTATCCGTGGGTACCCCAACGTGAAATCCCAATAGCACCGAGGTCATCTTTCCCGTAAGCCCCGTCACTCTTCACCTCGACGTTTGTTCTCGCAAAGAGAATGCAAAATTGGACCAGTTGGCTCTCGCGAATTCCGGGTGTTACACGACTCCCCGGCAGAAGAAACGGGGCTTTGTCATGTTGTCACAGATTGATCCCCCGGGAACGGGCAAAGTTGCCTCATCCCAGGGAAATATCCGCCATTTTCCAATGATATTTTCGCCGGGTTTCCTAAAATTTCCCACGTTTTCATACCGTCTGGCAGTCGGATCCGCGTCTGCTTCTATATTTTCCATCCCGCTAGCGTCCTTGCCGAATCTCTCCTTCAGCTATACTGATTTTATCCATAAACCCAAGTTTTTCCGAAGATTTGACAACCCTGGATGCAAGTTTCGTGTCCTCCTGCCCAGTTTTCGTGGCTCGGATCTTCGTGCCATCACTCGGGAGCTTAGGGTGACGGAACTGGGTCTTGTGTACCGAGAACTCCTGCGCTTTGGGAATCGATCATGCGAGATTTGCTCCTTTGCTGCCATCTGAGCCAATTTCGCATTTTAACTTACGTCGGCATCCTTGTAATTTGACCACACAAAAAATGGTTAACTATTTCCCGTTAGAAAATTTAACGCCACGTAAAATCTTTGACGGATCTATATTTCGAGGTTCATAAAGTGCCAAAATTGCGCAAGTGTAATTTTCCAAGTATACGAATAATCCGGATGATCTAAGCCGAACATTGAATCATATCAGTAAGGTTTATTTCTGTAAAATATAGTTTAAAAATCACGTATAATGATTTTTCATAGTTTTCTCGACTATGGCAAAAACTAATATCGGATGAAATTTGGATTTGTTTTTTATTTTGCAAGAGACGACAATAAATGCTTAAATTGCCCCGATACTGTCCTGGGCTCTTATCGTAAAACGACATATTGAACACGGGGAAACCACGAATAATGGCTATTTTTCGCGTGCGCTTAAACCATGTTAACATCAATGTATCTTACTGAAGGGATTTTGTGACTGGCTCAAAAAATGTATTCGTTGAATATGGATGTCTCTCTGTCAAAACAGAGTTTCCACTATCTGATTGACGCATGAGTCGTATAGACTGTAAATTGGAAGTGTAGCCAACGTGCGTTACATATCATACTAAAAATATCAATACAGAGGGAAAAAGCTCATCCGAGCACATCATTGAGGGAAAACTGCGCTTGGATGAGCTTTTACCCTCCGTATTGAGATTTTCAGCTTTATGCTGATATGTAACGCACGTTGGCTACACTTCCAACTTAATGTGAAAGAGTTAAATTTAAGGAAACAATTACTCTTTTTTTCTTAAAATTTACTATTTCTTTCATTCAATTCATTTCTTTAACTTGAAAATTCGGGAGAAAAAAAGGGCCTCGGATTTTATTAGGCCTTTACCTGCAAGAATCAGGGAGTTATCAGAAAATATCTCATTTTTACAGAAAAAATTAAAAAAACTCAAGTAACACTTTTTGAAGGGATTTCACAAAGAACGGAGCTCCGCTTAAGCTGTGAGCAAAAGTTTGCAAGAGTCGCAATGAAATGCGTATTTCTCTTGTTTGGC